TTACTGTTACTGTTACAGTAATAGTACTGTTACTGTTGCAGGGCTGTAGGGGAGCCAGAGGACCGAAGGTACAGTGTGAGACGGTTATCCCATCTTTTCAGGCTCATAAATATTGCATGTAAGACGTCATAAAAGCAAAAGCTAACTGTGAGTGTATTTCAGGGGCAGCTTGGTGTGTTCGGTCCAGAGGGAGAAGGTGGAGTGCAAGGAGCCATGGGCCAGCCAGGTCAAAAGGTTATACAGACGTACACCACAACACTGACTGCATGGTCATCTGGGGGGTAACAAGGGAAGACTTGCTCTGATCAAATAAAAACAGAAATTACCATTTAATTTAAGAACTAAAAAGAACTACTAATGTTCTTCCTGTTAAAAGGGAGTTTTTCCTTCCCACTGTTGCCAAAGCGCTGCTCATAGGGGGTCATAAGATTGTTGGGTTTTTCTCTGTATGTATTATTGTAGGGTCTATATAAAACGCCTTGAGGTGACTGTTGTTGTGATTTGGCGCTGTGTAAATAAAACTGAACTGAACTGTCAGGAGTGTAAAAGTAATGGTTAAAGAGACCTAACATGTAAAATAAAGAATTGCAGAGAATTGAAACAGTGGTGAAAAAATGAAAAAGAAACTCTTTGTGTAACACAAAGTTCATGTTTACAGTAATGCGACTGTGTGACTAAGAACTCTGAGGTTTGCGTTTATGCAATAATAAAGTCACATCCTGTATTTGTAAAGCTATGACTAATAAACGGTAAATGGTCTGTATTTATAAAGCGCCTTACTCGTCCCTAAGGACCCCAAAGCGCTTTACACATCCATTCACAAACTGGTGATGCAGCTACATTGTAGCCACAGCCACCCTGGGGCGCACTGACAGAGGCGAGGCTGCTGCTTACATATTTACATTAAGGACAGTGGTTACTATAAACAGAGTACTGTACAGTTATTAAATTAAATAAAAATAGCTACAGATAAGAGGCAAACCAGGTTGTAGTGCGAATCAGTTGATTAAATTATTGCAGTTACAGCGCAGATGGACTGACAATGACAATTGACCCAATACAATTCACATTGCACCCTGCACGTGACACTGAGGCACTTCAGGTTTTTTCTTTGGCCCGAGGTCCCAATGAAAATAAAGTTCTGCTTCATTCACGGACATACAGGGTGGGGGCATCTGTTCTTGGTTTGCTGTTGGCTGCCAGGGTTTGTTATTAATCATGGTTGTAATGCTTGTGCTACCTGTTATTCCTTGTGCACACCAAGATCTTTCAATAAGTATAAAGACTCATCTTATACAGTTTAGGTCATTGTGACACAGGACCCACACACACACACACACACAGGTTATGCTTAGTGTCCTTTTATTTTGGAAATAATCTTTGGCACCCGCCTCGGACCGAGCCACTCCCTCCCAGCATCATCTGCTCCATCTCATGTGGGCACACAAGACATCTCCCTCATTAACAAATTAAATCCTGTACACCTGTTGCCTCCCCGCCTCCATGCCGCCCAGACAGTTCACTGTGTCACCCCTCCTCTGCAGCAGGCCAGCAAACCACGCCCCCGCCACAGTTTCATGTTTTTACAGGAAACACCGAGCACAGAAAACATCTCACTAACTCGATTTCTCAGGTGTATCAGTCGCCTTTCCATCCAAAGCCAGATGTCATCAGTATTTAGTTTCCTTTTGCCATTGTTATAGGTTTTAAGAATATTAGATGTGATAGACATCATCAGTGTTCCCTTTATTGAAATAATGTATAAATCTAAATGTTTACACAGTGAAATATGAGCTGATATGAGTCGATGTTTCCACAGGGAGAGAAGGGAGACCGAGGCTGGAGGGGCCTGTATGGAGACATAGGAACTCCTGGGATGATGAAGGTACATTAAAGGCCAGCAGCCATAGTATATACTACCTGATTTAGGACACATCCCATAAACGACATTAAAGGCTAGAGTTTGTCCTGCCCACATGTAGACATGTATGTTATTCACACTCATCCCGACAGTTTCCCATTTGTATTTTGTTTGAATACTACTGATACGAAGTTCCTTTGTGTGTTTATGTAGGGCAATAAGGGGCTGAGGGGATTCAGTGTAAGTGTTTTTACTTTTTTACTGTCATACATTTACACATATGTTCCGATGACACTTGCTATTTTTATCGTTCAGGGTGATAAAGGTGTCAAAGGAAAAACAGGCCTGGAGGGAGTGAAGGTGAAGAAATCAAAAGAAGGAAAAACATTTCTGCATTTGTTCCTGTTTGACATTATGTGACTGATGAATGTGTGCGTCTCTGCAGGGGGAGCGTGGCATCCCTGGATACCCAGGACAGAAGGTGAAGCTGAGACACGTTCAGTGAACATCTCTGGCTGTGCAGTGTGTTAAGGCCTTTCTGTTGTGCTGCTGCAGGGAGACCCGGGCCAATGGGGCGCTGCGGGGAAAAGGGGGGAGGAGGGATCCAGAGGAAAGCCTGGGGACAGGGGGAGCACGGTAGGCACGAAGAATGAAACACAGAGTGTGTGCATGGTGGAAAACCCTGCAGTGTGTGTGTGTGTGTGAGATATTGTTCCCATTGCATTTATGCCTTTTTGTTTAAAGCTGTGAGGTAGGCGTCTAAACGTGAAGTTTTGTACCGGCTTCAGCCTTCGACACACACACACCTGTTTATATGAATTCTAGATCTGAAAAGCTGTTAGTAGATTCATATATTTAAAAAGGCACCTATTTTCTAAATATCATTTTGTTGATGTGAAACAGCAACGTCTTACCTCTCACTGTCCACAGACATTTGCTGCTTGGTTACCTTTAATAGGATGTAGCCTTGGAGCAAAAAAACTACGACTGTGCAATCAATCACTGTGAATTGCGTCACTTCCTGTTTGCCATTTGTTTGAAAGTTGTGTTTTGGTCGTGTCCTGTGGATTTTTGAAATTTTGGCCATCAATTTCTGGAGCAAAGACTGCTCAAATCTTTGGTACTTTTGGTACAACCCTGTCTGGATTACAACTTTGATACAGGATATTGGACTGACGGAGTTAACGAGGTACTTGCAGGCTAGCCAACACGTTACCAGGCTAACAGCTGACTGAACCTGCTACCAGAGTAACCAGATAAAATGGGGCCGAAGAGGACACCGACTTTTTTGTACCTCAGTTTGTCTGCTGCATGCAAACCAAATGAACGGCGTGATCACTGTGTGCAGGGCCCGAAGGGATCTCGTGGGCTCAAAGGGTTTCAAGGTCATCTTGGTCACGCGGGGCGTCACGGTCAGACTGGAGAACCTGGACTTCCTGGACAAGGTTTGTGACAACACGTTTATCAGTTTTGATCTACTTTATAGTGCATATAAATATACAGTCATGATATTGGTGCAGAAGATGAAGGTTTATAAAGTTGTATTTAAATTTCGTTTCACCACAGAAGTCTGATTGAGGTTAGGAACTTCTTTTTAGACAGTGACGGCGTCAGGGAGGCATGAAACTGTGCTAAAGAAACTATGTTCTGTAATGTAATTATTTATATTACAGAGAACACTCCCATCTACATCTCTACACTGTATAAAAATGTATATAATTACTTTCTGTTTGATCACGACTTATTGTGTGACAGTGTTTTTTCCAGATGTTTGCACAACCACTAAAGAACCACTAAAGAAGCATTTTAATGCTGCAGGTTTATATAACCTGTAATAATCCTTTCATGCAGCATAATAATCGGTATAAAACCACACTTTAGTTCACACTTCATTTCATCACGACTAGACTACTGTAATTCACTGTTTACGTGTTTAAACCAAAACACTGCAGCGAGGCTTCTGACCGAAACATCGAAGTATTCACACACGTGACACCGCTGCTGATACAGCTGCACTGGCTCCCCATCGAGTCCATGTCAAGATTCTGGTTCTGACCTTCAGAGCTCTTCATGGACAAGCACCAGCTTACATCATTAAACTTCTGCAGCCCTGTGTGCCTAGCAGCTCCCTGAGGTCATGTGATCAGGGCCTACTTGTTATTTAGCGTACAAGGCTGAGAACTGAGGGAGACAGAGCTTTGGCCCCTGTGGCTCCCAGACTGTGGAGCTCTCTCCCACTGAGCGTAAGATGTGTGGACTCGGTAGTTTTTTTCAAAAAACAACTAAAAACATCTTTTTAGTAGTGATGTGCGATACCACTGATTTCCTTTCCGATCCGATACCAAGTAATATTCAGGGTGGTATGATACTGATCTGATACTTTGTACAAAAACTTATTTTATTTATTGTATCTCAAATTATAGCATCATAATGATTACAGGACATAAGATTACTTGTTCTTATCACTTAATAATGCAGAATTCATCATATAGAAATAAAAAAAACTGAACACGTTGCCTGCAGCACTAAAGGACTCTGTGAGAGATGTCTGTCTCGCCCTAGCAGCACCTGTCCCTCTCCTCCTCTTCAGTTCACCTCAACATACGCTCGTCATATTCTGTGATATGATTTACTCTGAGGTGTTTGACAAATTTGTGGTGTTGCAGCAAAACCTCACTTTTTTGCCACATGTATCGCAAACCAAATCTCAGCTGTTTGTGGAGGTAAAACACGTTCGCACATGACTCCAATCATGAGTTATGTTGTGAGTGCGCTGCGAGACATTTATACAGCCGTATTTCACACATGACTATGAAAGGCGGAAGAAGAAGTAGTTCCTTTGAATGTAGACAATCCAGATGTTATAGTTTCTTTCCACTGTGTTCCCGTTAATGATAAACTACAAATTTACCCTAAATTACTAAAATATCGATATTTTAATGTGAGAATCGATTCTAGAACATAAATGATTGGTATCGGAGGAATCGATATTTCAGGATCGATCCGCACATCACTACTTTTTAGAACTGCATTTTGTCTGTTTCTGTTTTATACTTTGTCATCCTTGTGTCGAGCACCTTTTGATCTTTTATCTAGAAAGGTGCGATATAAATAAAGTTTTACTTACTTACACATTATTTAATAGGGCAATGTGGTTCAGGCCAACGACGCAGGCATGGAGCAGTCATACATACCCAGAAAGGATGAAGCTGTGACCTGATGGCCTTGTTGGAACAACTTCAAATATAAACTTGTTGCAGAAAGCTGATTACGCTTTGTGTTTTCTTAGTGTATATCCTACCAGGCATGGAGGGAGAGACAGGAAACCCAGGTCCTCCAGCCACATGCAACTGTTCACAGGTTCAGAGCCCACAACGATTGGTGGACGGAGTGCACACGGTCAGTGTCACACTGGTTAAACTGTTTACTCTGCTGGGGAGTAATCTTTACGCCATCTCACTCCAGTGCATTTTTTAAAGCAAGACTTTTGTTGTATTGGATCTGAAAGAGTGTGGAGCAGCACACCCACAGTAACACCGACAAATGGACCAGAATTCACACATGCTAGCTTACCATAGACCATGATTCTAGCTATGATGACCCAGCAGCTCTGGAACCACTGCCACCAGTAAGCTTTAAATAAGTCACAGAATAGTTCTGCATGAGGTTCATGTGCTCGTTCAGTTACATGTTCAGTTATGCTGTAATCGAATTTCTAATTTGTAAACAAAGCAGTTCTTGTGTGACTGCTCGTGTTGTGACAGTTGTCAATCAAAGGGGCACTAAATCCTCGGTCCAAACACAGGAGCTATAAATGTTTTCACCCCACGTGCAGTTGAAGAGGAAACAGCTGGAGACCTGGACTTTGTACCACTGTGTAAACAAACTCTTTTGACCTCAGCAGGCTCGTGTGTCACTCTGCAGGTGTTTGTTGCTGATGGAGAGAAAGCGATGAGAAGGCTGCGGGTGGAGAACGTGGTGGTGCTTCGCACGGACAAAAAGGCTCTGTACATCTACGCCGAGTCTCAGTGGATCAACGTATTGGTAACACACAGCGACAATCGAATGGAAACACACAATACACAACTGTCTGATGTTTAATCAAGAGTCTGTGTGTTGCTCTCTCTCCACACAAACAGACGATTTGAGTGTTTCTTCACATACTGAAGCTTTAAATCATTATTGATTATGATTATTCTTTTATTTTTATTAACAGTCACAGTGTCTTCTCTTCTGTGTGTTTTCCCTGCATGGAGCAGCAGGATCCCCGACACTGACGGCATACTGAAGCTGAACCAGACCTCCAACCTCAGCTGTCCATTAGCAGCGAGAAGCGTCTGAGCAGCTCCTCTAACATTTACAAGCATCCCTGGATTTATGTGACCACTCTAATATGACCTAGAAATGTCCTTTTGTGAAAGCTCGAGCTGAAAGGTTTTTTCCACCACCAAGTTGGCGATGTCTAATTGTCCATCTCAGACTGTTGGTCACTGAACATCCTCGGGATCACCCCTGCAGCATTTCTAACATTTACAAAGTTTACATGTTATATTTGATAAGATCTGACAACTGAAAGCATAACGTCATCAGGACTGTACTGTGTGACTCTCCTGAGGAGTAAGGAGGCTCATTTCCTCACAGACACAAACAGAAGTCACTTAAAATAATGTTCCTGTATCGTTTGCCTTTCCACACCTGGAAGCTTTGCCTGTCTTTTGTCTCAACGGATGATTTATGCATGCATCATTTAAAAGCACTTAAACAAGTCTTCATCATAACCAAAAGGAAAGTGTTTCTTTCTTGTGGTGCTGCAGTGATCCGCCTCCTACAAAGAGGTCAATAAAAACAAATACTTTGTCTTACCTTGTTGTGAACATGCTTGTTTGTTTGCTGTGATTAACAACCTGCTCTGCCACCTGAGCTGCAGCCACACCTACATACACAGCCTTATCAAACTTATGATTGTCACGTTGAGGTGAGATTTGTAAAACTAACCTGGTTACACTCTCTTAACAAGGAAACGTCCAAAAAACTGCAAAACATGGAAATAGTTTCTTTTGCTTGCCTGTCTTCAGCTTTCTTTGCTGGCTTCTGATGGACCACATCCCCACAGCGTTTCTGTCAGTAACGTGACTGAGCGTACAGAGTTTCTCAGAGAGAAAGATTGGCTGCAAAAAACTGTCTACATCATCAAACACCAGGCGACGGCTGTTCTCAGGTGTTAAAGACGGGTGGGTCCTGCACTGTGCTGAACACGGCTCTTCTCAATGTTTTGTGTTGGTGCCATCAAATTCAAAAGGAACTTATGGGCTCAAATTGTGGTCATAAATATTTTGTACTTGTAAATCAGGATTTGTGTGTGTAAAATGAATTTGTGTGTGGCCAAATAATACGTGTGAAACTCTGCGCTCAAGTTTCAAGTTACAAGTACGAATTTTGACCCTATTTTTCTTCCTTTCATCTGATTGGTCAATGTCATGTCAATCACAGATTTAACTATCCAATCAGAGAACAGATGGGTTTTCTGTCAGAGGGGTGCTATTTTGAACTGCAGGTCCTTGAAGGGTGATACAGTTTGAAGCTGGAGGATCTCTGTATAAATATCCGATAGCAGCTAGGTCCCCTAACTTTCAGCAGCTGTTGAAAGGGTAAAGTTATATCAGTGGTTAGAAATACCATCATTACTTTAGGATTAGTTTAACACAAAGTCAGGGCTGACCCGGGAGCATTGCTGTGAGTCACAGTGCGCAGCATAAAGGTCCTTTCACGTCAGACGCAGCATGTGCTGCTAATGCTAACTGCTAACTAAAAAGCCAAGGATACAGAATTTGTTGCGCTGGCTGCTGAGCTCTGTGGGTTTTTGCAGCAGCTCTACCTGCACTAGCTGCACCTGCTCCTTGTCGTTTCTATCTCTGACTTTATGTCCTCTACAAGAGTTTCTGTTTTTTATCTTCAAATGTTCAACATGTGTCGCTAATTCATAACAAAGAAAGCTTTGTAACTATCCCCACTAGTGAAGACTGTGTCATTTCCACAGCACTGCCCCTCCCCGCGGTCCGCAGCGCTGTTGAAAAGGCTCAGGAGGTCCCTGCATTAAGCACGTAAACCTGTGACACAAAAATCACCAAACTCAGACGACCACAGACTGTTTTCCTTCGTGGTGATGAAGGAAAACG